TCATAACATCATTATATTCTATGGGTTTAATGAATTTGCAGACAATGTAGTTATCTGTAACTGTCATATAGCCTAACTGTAAATTCAGTCTTAGAGGAGAATGCCATTGAATGTGTAGCTAATATGAAGTGTGTTTTCATGAGAAAAAAAAATCTAACTAAAATCAGAACTGAAAACAAACTCTGGATGAAAAAAAAACTCCCAATAAATGTCCAAACAGCGATTCTATCACAGCAGTTATTGTGTTATAGAGGGGTTTGATCAACCAGTTAGACAGACAGATTACTAGGTTATTTATTTGCACAAATCATCCAAGCACCCCAATCCCAGCCATTTCTAATATACTTTTGATTAATATGACTAAATATTAAATTGTAACGAAATTAAAGATCCATCTTTGATTGTCAAAAGAATTCCAGCTAATTAGATTTCACATAGCATTTTAATCGGTCAGTCATGGAAGTCTGATTTGTTGATAACTTTTGACAATGTTTAATCCAGGTGCGAAAAGAATTCATTTTTAGCGCAAGAGCACGGAGAGATTTGCGAGTGCAAAGGACACAGTTTGAGTGCGCGCACGGGCACACTTTGAGCGCGTGGAGAGATTTGCAATGGCAACGGACACGTTTTAAGTGCGCGCACACACTCTGGGCGAGAGCAGCGCATATCTGAGAGCGCGCGTCCGGTTTTTAGTGCGAGAGCAAAGGAAATCCGCGTGCGAGCAGAGAGATTCGCGCTCGCACATCATAGCAATGTACTTTCGCGCTACAACAGTGCGCTCTCGACATTTGACAGTAAAATAACGCCATACAGGAGAAGTTGGAAGGGAAGGAGTTCCCATAAGCGGAGAAAACCTCTGTGATGTCTCGTTCCCGCTCTCAGGGATCCGAGGTTATGATAGTTATGAGATGTTTTATTTTAACAACTAGTCAGAGCTCATTTTCCTGGCATTTGTAGCATGTCAGTGTGTGTCTGTGTAGTGTGTGAGAGTCAGTGTGTAGTGCAGAACCATCCTTAGGGGGTGCAACTGGGGCCTCGTGCTTGAGGGGGCCCCGTGGCGAACTGACACCCCCCCCCCACCGAGCCGTTGCCACTCTCATAATGTCATTTAGATGTCTTGGGCTGTGTCCGAAATCGCCCCCTATACCCTTAAATAGGGCACTATTTGAGGGAACAGCCATTTTTAGTGGTGTCCGAAACCATAGTGGACGTTCTCGAGTGCACTCATTCAATCCCACAATGCACTGCAAAAACGAGTGTACAACTGGTGCACGCTCAACGGCTAGAGAATGCCCATAATGCACCGTGAGAGTCACGCGCCGAATGAATTCCCGCATCTCGCCAGAAGATGGCGCCCGCAGCTGATTAATCAATCCGTTCATTTTTACAAAGCGCTCATCCATGGCGTACAGCATAATGTACAACACGGGTATAAATTCATTGTAAATTGATTATTAAATTGTTTGATTAGGGTTTATACATAATTTCCGTGACAGAGTTCAAGATAAATCCTTTAATCTTACTACTGGAGCTGCTAGTTTGCTAGTTTCAAATGATTAATAAACAGCAAGCACAAACTATGCAAAAGCGGCATTCCTTCCGGTGCACTCAGTGTCCGAATTCACTACTCGTTTTCATTCACTCCTTCTAGTGAACTAAATTAGTGACCTAATGTAGGGAATAGTGAATGAGGGTATAGGGGGCGATTTCAGACACAGCCCAGCTCATATCTGAGAGCGTGCATCTGGTTTAGTGCGAGAGCAAAGGAAATCCGCATGCGAACGGGAGAGATTCGCGCTCACACATCATAGCAATGTACTTTCGCGCTACAACAGTGCGCTCTCGACATTTGACAGTAAAATAACGCCATACAGGAGAAGTTGGAAGGGAAGGAGTTCCCATAAGCGGAGAAAACCTCTGTGATGTCTCGTTCCCGCTCTCAGGGATCCGAGGTTATGATAGTTATGAGATGTTTTATTTTAACAACTAGTCAGAGCTCATTTTCCTGGCATTTGTAGCATGTCAGTGTGTGTCTGTGTAGTGTGTGAGAGTCAGTGTGTAGTGCAGAACCATCCTTAGGGGGTGCAACTGGGGCGAACGGACTAAAGGGGAGCAAAAGTACACGATGGCACACAGATTGCCTACCCGGAACGCAATCATGAACGGACCCAGGGGGGTCTGGACCCACCCTACCTTGCACCGGGCCCCGCGTCAGCCAAGGACGGCCCTGAGTGTGTGTGTGTCTGGCAGTGAAGTAGGCTGATGCAGTCCAGCTGCGGGAGTCACTCAGTCTGTGCGTCTGCAGATGCACTCGTATTGTTGTGCTGGAGCTGATGCTCATGTGTATTATTCAGTGTGAATCACAGCATGAGTGCGGCGCGTCAGCGGCAGAGGATCTCCAGCAGGAGACTGTAGCCCCGCCTCTGCAGCCCCATCTGTATTTATAGCTTATTGCAACAGCAGCATTCAGTCAGTCAGTCAGTCAGTGAGTGAGTGAGTGAGTAACTCTATAGTGTAAGATCATCAGCGGGTCTCCCAGCTCTCTCTCTCTCTCCGCATCCAGACCGGACCAGCATGACGGAGACTGCGTCAGACCCCGCTCCAGGCGCCGCGGAGGAGCCAGAGGCGAAGCGGGAGAACGGCGACTGCGCAGCGGACGCGCCGCGGCAGCTGGACCCCCCGGAGGGCGGCTGGGGCTGGGTGGTGATGCTGGCCTCGATGTGGTGCAACGGATCGGTGTTCGGTATCCAGAACGCGTTCGGTATCCTGTTCGTGTCTCTGCTGCAGGAGTTCGGCTCCGAGACCGACGAAGACCTCCGCTTCAAAACAGGTAATAACGCAGGAGAGCGAGCGACCCACGTGTGTGTGTGTGTGTGTGTGAGCTGCGAAGTGATACATTACACCGCTTCGCCTGCTTTCGAAACAAAGTCATGCAGAAAGTACGGTGCTTTAGTGGCGTGAAATCGCATCGTATTTATAGCTTGTTATCACAGTGCATGTTTTTCAGGCTAGATTTATTATTATTTATTATTATTATTTGTGACCCTGGAGCACAAAACCAGTCATAAGGGTCAATTTTTTTAAAATGGAGATTTATGCATCATCTGAAAGCTGAATAAATAAGCTTTCCATTGATGTATGGTTTGTTATGATAGGACAATATCTGGCTGAGATACAACTATTTGAAAATCTGGAATCTGAGGGTGCAAAAAAATCTAAATATTGAGAAAATCATCTTTAAAGTTGTCCAAACGAAGTTCTTAGCAATGCATTTTACTAATCAAAAATTAAGTTTTTTTTCTTTGACAAGAAAACCTAGACCAGGAAAATATTAACGCGTGTTGTGACAACATGGGGATCTATTAGAGGCTTTTCAGCTCAAGCTCTGTGAAGCACAAAACAACCCGTGGATGGTATTATGATAATATAAAAGATGTTCAATCATTGTTTTGGCCAGCAGAAATAAAACCTGCACAAGAACTCTTGCTTTGACTTGACATTGTACTTAGAAAACACTTCAAGCATTCAGTTCATATGTGTATGTCAGTTGCTGTATCAAACTTTGAAAACCAGAGATGATGATGCAATTCTAGTTTAGAGGACAGACTCAGTCCCATTTTAGGCAGTTTTGGCCAAGCACTGCCAGAGAAACTTTAACAACTTCACTGTGTGACAACTAGCCCCATGTTCATATTCCATGACAGTGTAGTTATACCAAGAGAGGAGCAGAGCTGTATGCATTTATGAGCCGACATGTTGTAATTGTTGAGTTATTGTTGCTGAGGTGAATGTAGTGAAATTAGATTTTTACATCCCAAACGATCAAAGCTGTTTGACAGATCACACCAGAAGACTATGAGGAGCGTGTGTTTCCTTCTCAGTCACGTCACGCCAGTGTTTCTGTCAATGATTCGTCTACCCTGTAGATCACTCGTTTACTCATTAAAGTGAACGTACTCTCACTTCACATGACTGCAGGAAAGTCTAGAAGCGTCTGTGATGCTGTCGGTGGGGTGATAGTTAGCAGCAGGCCCTAACCAGTGATGAAGATCTGATGCTGCTGCAGAGACGTCATACAGCTCTCTCACATGCCAGGGTTTCTCAGCTCTTAAAACTGTACCAGAAAGACAAATTAAAGCCTTAGAAAGTCTTGAATTCATAGTCACGGCATGTATTGCAAAAAAAAAAAAACCTTCATCTGTATTTTTTCATATAAATATGCAAATGTTCTTAAATCAAGGTACATTTATTTGAGATGCAAAATTAACATATGAAATCTTGTTTCGTAAATTGAACAAAATAAAGCGAGTTGATGCTTTAAACAAGAACTAATATCTGAAATTGGGTATGAAAATGTGTTTTCCTTTCAGTGAAGCTGATTTTTTCATTGCCAGATATTTATTCTTGCTTTAAGCATAAACTCACTTCACTTTGATCTAGGGATGCACCGATACCACTTTTTCCAGTACTCGCCCGATACCGATACTTTTATTTTTGGTACTTGCCGATACCGAGTACCGATACCGATATTTGTATTTTTGTTACTTGCCGATAACGAGTACCGATACCGATACTTTTATTTTTGGTACTTGCCGATACCGAGTACCGATACCGATATATTTATTGCATTTGTACTAGGGGTGGCACGATACCACTTTTTCAGAACCGATGCCGATCCGATACCAAAACTTCTGAGTATCGGACAATACCGGATACCGATCCGATACAAGCACAGTTTTTATTTTTTTCTATACCTAATAATATTTCTATAATATTTTTTTTCATTTCTATATTTCTATTATGTGTTGACCTGATCATCACTCTTTTGTGTTACACACAATCTACTAAATATAGACAACTTCATTATAAAGAAAAATAAAAAATTAAAAAAAGATATAATCATAATCTATGAGAAAAATACTATTATAAACTAGGTTAATGGATAATTCAGCAGCAAAAGTTACTCTACAAAAATGATGAGTTCATAATAATTTTATAACATCTAAACATTTAGAGAAAAAACATTTAGTGGGGGAAAAAATAAAAGTAAATTGGTGTAATCTGGTAAAATGTTACACATTGCTCTTTGTATTGTAATATACATTCATGAAAAACAAGTAAATATAATTATATATAAATATATGCAATAAATTAAATACATTTCTTTTACATTTATAGCACAGTAATGAGGCAGCAACATATGATAGATAAGACAGAACAAGAAAGGCTATTAACAATCTTTCATTGCACAAAAGTAGCCTATTATAACATGAAAGGCTCCAATACAGAGCGGCACCAAGCGCTTATGCACATCCCGTGCACAGAATGATGCGCTTGAAGCAACACAGAGTCACAGCGCGTAGCGCGCAGCATAGAGAAGCTCAAAGCACAAAGCGAAGAGGGTTTTGATGCGTAGTGTATTATATCTGTGCGATAGTTTATTGAGCCTTTTCTTTTAACAGTTTTAAACTTTAGTTACTGTGTGCGTGAAGAGCTATTCAGAGTGCTCTGTACTCCAGTGTAGTTAACTCTAACAGACACCCGGTATAAAGTAACATGATTTAGAATTAGCACTAAACTCCAGCAAGATAAAGTCCTTATATGCAAAACCATTGATCTTTATCTACAGATCAAGTATAATAATAGGAACATTGCATCATCTTAGAAAGAGTTTCATCGTCTTGACAGCTGTAACCGAACGCGATGCGCAGCTTGAACGCTGAATGGAGGATGACTGACAGCCGCAGCAGAGAGAAGAGTTTACGTGAACTTGAATTTAAGGACTTAAATATTCATCTGTACCTCACATTAAACTATGGAACGGCTTCAGAACACTTGAAGTATAGTGCACGGAAACTTTATGGTGCTTTATAATGTTTTGTGCCTTTCGTGGGGCTTAACAATAACACAATAGTATACGCGATGCGCTTATCACATGCTGTGTGGTATCGGCGTTTGGTATCGGGGCATTTTAACGAGTACGAGTACAAGAGCTCAGTATCGGCCCGATACCGATACCAGTATCGGTGCATCCCTACTTTGATCAATAACTCAGAAAACAAGACTTATTTTATGTACACTCTTAAAAATAAAGGTGCTTCAAAAGGTTCTTCACAGCGATGCCATAGAAGAACCATCTTTGGTTCTTTAAAAGAACCATCTCTTTCTTACCTTTTTATAATCTGAAGAAATTTCTTTCGCCACAAAGCAGCTTTTGGCGAAACATGAAGGTTCTTCAGATGTTAAAGGTTCTTTATGGAACCATGTAGACAAAAAAGGTTCTTCTATGGCATCGTGAAGCACCTTTGTTTGTAAGAATGTAATTTTGTTTCTCCAGTGAATGTATCTTGATGTAAGAAGCTTTAGGCATTTGCACTGCAAGAGAACGATACTGAGCAAGGTCAGTGCTTTTTTGCAGCGTGATCAAGTTATTTCCATATTCTGTTCACATATAGTGTGAAAACCTTGAGCTTTTTTTGTAAAATCAATTATGGAGCTCTATCGAAAATATATTTTTAAACATCTTTGAAGCATTGCTAATAGAAGATATTTACATTTAGAAACCATATTGGAAGTATTGCGCACAATTTATTCTTTCCGTTTTCACGACTTGGTTTTTAAGAAGTCCTGAAGCTCTGCAGAAACCAGCAGAGGTGTGTGAGGACATTGGGATTGTAATGAAGGGTGTTGTGCTCAAAGTCATTAACACAACAGTAGAGCAAGTCTAGCTGTGAAACGCTCCTGCCGTTGTCATCTGCCTTCACAGACTCGATCTGACTTGAACAGTGCAGTCAGTCAAACCAGTGTGTTCATTCATTAAACGTGTCCTGCGTAGCGCTGGTGAGGATTGCGTCATGTCCAGCTGTCTGTGCGCACATCAACACGGAGGTCAGAGGTCAGTCGTCTCCTCACTCCGTCAAGAGCAGGAGCAGCTGATGGCACATTTGATATCCCAGTATCCAGCTTTATCCACTTACACGACCAGTCAAACGTTTTTGAACAGTAGGACTGTTAATGTTTTTAAAGAAGTCTCTTCTGCTCACCAAGCCTGCATTTATTTGATCCAAAATACAGCAAAAGCAGTAATATTGTGAAATATTATTACTATTTAATATAACTGTTTTCTATGTGAATCTATGTTAAACTGTAATTTATT